ATAATGTGAAAGTTACTATCCTTTTCAATGTGACAATTGTAGGTGGTAGTATGTTAAGGATAACAAAAATGTTTAGCCTTGATTTGTCAGGAATATTCAGTTTTGGTCTAGATACAGTTAATAATTACCAGTTCTTAAAGCAATGTTAAAATGTGAAAATCTGTATTTGTGTTTTATTATTATTATTATTATTATTATTTTTATTATGAAATTGAGGAAAATCTTCATTGCATTTATTTCGTGCAAATGATCTTACAAAGACGAGAAAAAAAATCAAATAAAGTTGGTATAATTAAGGTGACTGTCTGCTATTTTAGATTTATTTCTACCTTGTTTTTTTTTTCTTCTTCTTTTCCATGCATAAAGATCTATATGAAAATAAAATATTGAGATGTTCATTCTTATCTATTCTCCTATTCTTGCCATGTATGGTTAAAGGAAAAAATACCAGATATAAGAGATTTTTGATAGATAGTAGAACTAAACCAAAAAACACAAAAACAGTGCAAATATATTCACTTCAGAATGAACATTGTAAACATGGCATTTATTTTACACTTCATACATAGATGACTTTTAGTATTTAAACATGGCATTTATTTTACACTTCATACATAGATGACTTTTAGTATTTAAACATGGCATTTATTTTACACTTCATACATAGATGACTTTTAGTATTTAAACATGGCATTTATTTTACACTTCATACATAGATGACTTTTAGTATTTATTTTTAAAACCAAACATTATTTTGTTGGTGTTCTGAGCATTTGTAGTTGCCAAACATAGAATTAAGCATTTAAACAGTGATAACATGAGTCTTTCTTAGTTGCTGTCATTATCATACATGGAAATATGTTGAGGTAAATTAAAGTTGAAAGAGTGGAAAAAACAGAGTATGCATCATCTGCACATTTTACAATGATTTGGTTCAGTTAGTACTTTTGGAGTTATCTGCTATAGCCAATTTTCATTGTAAATAAAGACAGGAGTATGGCTCTACGCCGTGGTGGCGCACCAAAACGCGGCAAGCCAGTGATTCGGGCTGATGTACTGAACTCACGCGCTCAAAGTCAGCTCGCCGCCATTGTTTGCCAGAGCGTAGAGTTTTTTGTTTTGTTTTCTTCACCCGTCACCATTGTGTTAACTAAATATGTCTTATTAGTGCCTTTCACGACGAAAATTTGACACATTTTTTGGAGTTTGGCTCTCCTCAGTCTTTGATTGGTTGCTGGACACTCTTGTCCTCTAGGGACAGATGTACAGATGTAGAGGGGAGGGGGTGGAAGTACATTATTGTAACAGTAATGTAATAGTATAGAGAATGTTACAGGAAAATAACATGTATGATTATGAAATCTGAATCTCTTCCTCCCTTCCACATCCATAGTAAGGAAGAAGAAAGGTGTTTTTAGTCTTAGTAAATTTATTCTTGGTATATATATTGTCCCTTTTTTCTCAATCATCTTCATTTGCTTGAGACATTTCACTTACAGACTAGAGGAATGGTTCTGGTAAAGCTACCCTGTGGTGCAGCTTTTTCTCCACAAATGTCCTTAAAGGAGCCTGCATAAGAGCTCCATCCTGAAAGCCAGCTGAGCCATATAACCTCTGAGTGCCCCAGAAAGGCATTAATAACCACCATATCAAGGAAGAACAAGATGTTGTACTACCTGACAGATTGAATGAATGAGTAAGAATAAGCCAGCTGGTCACCTAAATCCACCCCCATTGTCCTGAAGTAGTCAGTGACTACCTTGGGTATCTCCTTTTGCAGCCTGGTCAGTCTGATATTGTAACTATCTTGCTTCTGTAAACAGTTGACAGCATTTTGACAGATAAACTTCTTGTCATGCCACAGAAGGTACAACATGCCTGTTTGAGTGCTGTCAAAGTCTACATTTCTCCAGACCCTCACTGTGCCAATTGCATTCATATGCAGACTCTACATGGAGTAAAAAAGGACTTGCTGTGAAGCTTATACCCTTTTCCAAATGGGCCTATGTCGCCCATCAAGGTGATGAGACCCTTCAGGAATACAGTCAAGTCACCTATGTTGTTGAGTATTGGCCTCAATTTCCATGGGCAGTTGCCAACAAGTTAACATAGATGTATTGGGTCAGAAGTTTGGATCTTTCCCTCATCATTTCCTGTAAATACAAGGGAAGGACATGAATGTCCATAAGCATGGCTAGAAAAGTGTGTTGTAGGCTACCTAGAGAGTTGATACCGAGTCTGTGCAAGGAAGACAGATTTTTCAAAATGGCAAAAAAGCAGACAAATATTTATGCAGAAAAGGAGAATGCAAGGAGTCTTGACACCACACACAAGTGTTAGTGTGGGTTGGCCCATTGGGAGAGTCGCCACTCATGCCTAATGCCTGGATTTTGGGCCACATGTGGGCAGCGAGGCACCAGTATCCAAAGGATTAATATACTATTTCAAGTTCTCTGTGTATAATTCTTACACAAAAGATCAAACTTTCCCCACCATTTGT